TGTTTATTTATATATGTTTATTTTCTGTATTTATATTTTGGTAGCTTTTATTTTGTTTATGTGACCTTTGACTTCCCACGAAGTCACTTCCTATAGCTGCGCGAGGCCCCGCTGAGGAGAAGTGAGCGTACGCTAGTGTTCTCAGTTACAGAGCGAATAAACACAGTTAAAGTAACTAAAAGTAATTCAAACACTGCTCGCTCCCTTTGTGCATTTTGTCTCACAGTTCTGTTAGATATTTTAGTGTGAATTATTGTTTCTCTGCCAAGTACAGCACTTTATTGTAACATGCTAGTTAGCCAATCTCAGATGAGAGCATAGGAGCATGCACGTGGCTTCTCATGTGGTCCACTATCCTTCTCTCTCACTTGAAGGTGTTCATGCAGATGTCCAGTAAAGTGAACTGTACTGTACAGTTTTGTTTTTATTTTAAACAGGTATGTGAACTCCCTCTTTTATTTTTGTGTCATGTGAACTGGTTATATCTTTTGTTTGTTTGTGATGCATGTTCACTGTTTCAACTTACTGTTAGATATATGTAACTAAAAAAATATGTAAAATTGCCACTGGTAAATGAAGTCTCCCTAAAGTATAATTTTGTTGATGAGGTAATTGTCACTATATGTTCACGATGCAGTGCATTTTCGTTTGTTATATATGATTATAAATACATTTTAGCAGTATTATTTGTTACCTCAGTCGCGTAGAGGCCCCGCTGAGGAGAGGTGTTCATGCAGAAGTCCAGTAAAGTGAAGTCGCTGTATTGTTTTGTTTTTATTTTAAACAGTTCTGGGAGAATAAATCCATCCAGCTGGCAAAGTGAGAGCTGACTCCTCTGGTCATTCGCACAACACAACGCAGAGAACTAACGGCAATAAGAGTTTAAGGCCAGACCGGCTACAAATACATAATATGTTAAGCTGTACCTTACTAAAATCACAAAATGAAGCCAAACTGTGTCAGTTGTCAAAGGAAGCCCTTTAACAGTGTTGCATTTTACTGGCATTTTATGTTGTTTTGAGATTTTCATCACCATTTGATAACGTCTCTGGAGTAGGTTACACTCACAGGGATCATTTTCTGTGGAAAAGTCACATGAGTCTTGAAACCTCCCTTCGTGATTGGTCAGATGCTGACGTCACCCCTTTCATGTGATGGCGCAGGGGAAATACTGGGTTAACTTAGGGAGTTGATAACCAGCGTTGTTTGCCATTTATCCTGATAGCCAATGTTAGGGTAGGTGAATCTAGGTAGGGGAAAAAGCTTCTTTGAACTCGCTGTGTAGTATAGAGCCCTGAGTTAACAGGTACAGTTGTTTCAAAGAAAACAAATTCACTCAACCGCCATGGCCTCTCTGCACGTGCAAGACATTTTGACAAGCCAATAAATCACTGGGAGAATACGGTCACAGATAACAGGGTTTTAAACGATAGCAATCAGCCTATAAGGAACACAAGTGCAGCCATAGAGCCCACTCCACAAACCACTTTCGTGGAGTTTGTTTTCCTTCTCTCGGATCTGTAAGATATACAATTGAAATCCGCCAAAGTGCTGCAATTACTGGGACTCAGAAAGATCGGAAGTGTCTTAAATTAATGCCTGAATCTTACAGCATATAATGTTAATAAACAGCTAACAGCTCAACGACACGGTGTCCTGGTGTGCTCAGCAACTTAAACAAAATTAAACACACGGATTTGGCGAATATCCGAATTGTGTATCTCATATAAACACGAGAAGGTCTTTCCAGTCTGGGGCTAGCCTGACATCTGCTGGGACAAAACCAGCAATGCAATATGATAGATAAAACACAGGAAATAATAAAAAAGTTCATTCTTACATATATAAAATAATATTTGACTATAATGTGTCTTTGATAACATATGTGAATTATCCATTAGCTTTATGAGCAAAACTCCCATGAGTGAGAGAAATAAGGTCATCGATGAATAATTGACCAGTTAGTCACTCCTCTGAGCTATTCTTGCTCCTCGTGTGAATTTCGTCACTGGCTGGGTGATGTAGACCCGTTTAATCGGTTATCTGTTCAAACGACCAGAAGTCATTGTTTTTCCCCTAGCGAACGGCTGGTCATCGCTCTAGCTTGTGATTGGACGCTGGCGAGCGGGGGCCGGCTCAGCAGCCAATCCCGCCCTTCGGTGGCCCACCGAAACGCCTCCCGCATGTCGTACCCTTTAAATGACGTCACACCCAGTGAACGCGATACGCACCAAATTTCTGGACAGTGGTCGGTCATTGCGGTGAGAAATAGTAACAAGAAGAGAAGACTGACACCGTTTCTGCTTAAGCAGACTTTGCTGCCGTCTCCAGCTGACCGGAATAGTGGTTATTCAAAGGTAGGAAGCCCAGCCAGGGCCGGACTGTGTATATTTGTGTGTACGAGCCTTGTCACTGTGAAATTAGAGATGGGTCGGACTGGGTTGTGGCCTGCAGGTGCGACTCCTGTTTGCCTTATGTAAAGGCTATAGAGTTCTTAAAAAAAAAGAAAAAAAAGAACACTTAATAGGCTAAACTAAATTATGTTGACTAACCCGGATAATAAGTGGGCTAGTCATACTAACAAACGCTTATTGAAAATACAAACGGATCAAATATTAACAGACTAGCTTTAGCTTAACTCAGATTAATTCAAGGCAGCGTTGCTGAGCAACAAAGGTTCCGGTTATAGTTTCTGTTCTTTCTTTCTTTTTTGTTTTCGTGTCTTTTTTTAGTTTAGAGCTTTTTTTCTCAGTTTGCTCCAAGCACCTGTTTATATGACAGAGTTATGGTTCTGATTGCTCTTAATTGGGTCCAATGGGGTGTCTTAATATACACGGAGTCTTGTCTTGTCTCTAGACAAAAACAAGGTAAACAGGGGCTGCCAGGCTACCGAACTGCTTTGCCACAGCTCAGCTTGTACAAACATGATGTAAATCTAATGTAAGCTCATTCATTTTGGGCAATATGGGCTTTTACCCCCCCATTCATTCATTCATTCATTCATTCATTCATTCATTTATTTATTTATTTATTTATTATAGCTGGTCCTTTTAGGCCCTGGTATTTAGGTAGATATGTGTATTTTCTCTGAACAGAATTTTTAAATTGGCATCATATCTTAAGTAGTTCAAGTCCTATGTACTAAAAAACATTTAAAAAAATTTGATTTTTTTTTCCTTTTACTACTTAATGCTAATTATTAGCACTTCTTTTGGGTTTGTGAGGTTATATTTTAAACATTCCATAGTAGTGCTTATGTGTTCTGCTTTACCACACAGTTTATTTTCCAGATGTTAGTGTTAAACTCAGCCACAAGGATAACACAACTGTTAGGGAAACTTCTTGCTTGTCATTATTTAACAATGGCATTTTCAGTGGCATTTAAAGGATTCAGGAAGGTTTAGTGTTCAGTGTCCAGGTACTCTGTGTGCCCTGTTTGTCTGTGATATTGTCATCATGATACTGTTGTGGAAACACATGTGATCTCACTTCACTCATTTATTTTTGCTTTTCATCAGATTGGAAAAACAAACACATGCAAATTATCACACTCGGACACAGTAAAGACACACTGAGAAAACCTTCATAGAAATCAACGTCTATTAAAATCTTTTCATTAAAACTTAACCCTGTACCAAAGTCTAGTAAGAAATGTATGTGGGTATAATAAAAGCCCATGGCCTTCAAGGTGAACTTTGACAGTGTATGCAGACATCCTCATAGGTGTCAGGTTACCAATCATTTGTTTGGCTTCTTTCTCAACCTTCAACACGTAATCTTACACAGGAAGAGAGGGACAGAATAGACCTTCATCACAGGGGACACTTTGGCGTCACCTCTCATTGTCCCAGCAGGACAGGTGAGCTTATTCCAGTGTTTTGTTTTGTTTTTTGCTGGTGAGTGTGCTGGCTTACTGTAACTACTTAAACAAATCATCAGGAATTGTTTTGTCCCTCCTAGGCATCTTTAGAGGGAGTGCCGTCTGCTAGTAGCTTGAAGAACATATTCAGTTGGTGAAATGCGTGAAAGCCGTGATAAAGCTTATCGTCACATTTGGGCTGCTAATGTTAACATTCCCACATCACATTGAAAGTGGTATGAAACCAACCTCATAGCTTATCTGCAGGTATAACATTACCCAAGAGCCACAATCAAACGTGGTTATTAATGCCATTGGGCAATGACACTTATAAAAAGACTTATGTACTTTGAACCCAATAAGAGATTTTCCATAAGTGATAAGTACAGAAAAGTACACCGTTAAATCCTACTGAGTAGATTAGTGGTAATAACGTTTTTCACCATCCAGTTTGGAAGTACTCTGTGTGTGCAGCTTTTTTAAAATTACAGATGGGAGATTGGATGTGGATAAAAAGATGAGCAGGAAGGAATGAAAGCCATTTGGATGTTTATAGTGTACATATACAAGGTGAAAAAGGGATTCCAGTGATGTAAGCACCACTACAGTTTTCCAACTATCAGCCTTTTCTCTTTCTGTGGCTCTTCTACGTGAAAGCTAGCAAGTGTTTCGGTGTTGGCCCCTGATAAACCTTCTCAGAAACCACTGGTTGGGAAATGCACTTGAAAGAAATGACTTTTAAATGGCTGATCTCAGACATAGTTTATTTACTTTGATAACGGCTTTGGGATCATTTTCTTTCCCGTGTTTGATTCGCAGACTGACAAAAAGAAGACATGAACGTGTGATATAATGTGATAAGTGTGAAAATGCAACTTGTACAGGCCTTGTGGTTACAGAGTTCTTTCTTCCTCTCTCTTATTCACGTGTTCTACTGGCCTCACTCTGTACGCTGTGAAGCCAATCTTTCTGTGTGAATAGTAAAATAATTATGCTTGCCTCTGGAATGGTTGATGTGTGCTGTGACTGACCACTGAATCATAAGATATCCTCTGCAAACATTAGAGTAATGTACTGTGCTTGTCTTTCCTCTGTGGCTGAGTGGAGATAATGGCTGTTTGCCGAAAGTGTGGAATAGTCAACAGGTTAAAGAAGTAGAGTGAGTGAAGTGTGTGATGTATACAAACTAGAAACAGTTTCTCTTTTTTAGAACTTTGGCAAATTACTGCCAAATATTACTTTAGACTTTCTGAGTAGGAAACTGGAATATGGAGGAATTGAAAAGGTATTCTGTGTACTTCTGTGTAGCTTCAGTGTATCTGCTTACTAGTCAAGAAAAGGGCCATAATCACACCACCTTTAACTTTTTTTTCTCTTTTCCTTCGTTTGACCTACAGCCAAAACATGGAGAACCCACCTCCATACCCAGGCAATGGCCCAACTGCTCCTGGTTACCCAGCCCAGGGCCCAACTGCTCCTGGTTACCCAGCGTATCCTCAGCAGGGATACCCTGTGAACATGGAGCAACCTAACCCAGCTTACCCAAACTACCCTCCCGGACCAATGGGACCTGGTGGTCCTTATCCCGGACCAGGACAACCTCCTTATGGGTATGCTGGACAGCCTCAGTTTGGCTGGCAGGGTGGACCTCCTCCCGGGCCCATGTATGGGGAAGCTCCCAAAAACACAGGTAAGCACTGTGACCCAAAAGTGCTACACAACACTTGTGAGTCCAAATCCAGCAGTACTAGCAGAACTACAAGTTGTCACTGTCCTTACACAATTTTAAGTCCTGTGCTGAATTACTTGTTGACTGGATGTTATGGGGATGCACTGGGAGTCTTGCAAGTCTGCATTCAGCTGCAAGGATTAGCTACTCGCATAACTCATAAACAGTAGGAAAGCTGTTTGTAGCTACATTGTTTTCACACACTGGTTTTTGAAAGGCATTTTGAAAACATTTTGGAGCTAAGAATGACCATATTTGGGTGAGACGATGCAGTGCTACCTTGTCAGCTGGCTACTAAAAGAGCTGCACGTTTTGGCACCTGGCATTGGTTTCAGGTTTTAGGTCTGGAGGTTGCCCCTTGTTAGTAACACTAGGAAGCTGATCTGTTAACGTTAGCTGTACCTTTTTTAAGATGGTTACATAAGTACCTTAAACTCATATTCTTTGTAATGGCAAGAGAAGGGCCTTTCTGCTGCTCTAGCAAATATGCCAGATAAGCAAAATATCTTATTGCTCACTTGATCTTAGACCGTTAACATTTTCTTGATGAGTTTATGGTCATAGCTGAAGTAAAACTGGTGGTATGCTTTAGGACTGGCCTGCCTTGTGATTAACAAATTTCGACTGAATGAACAAGCTGTATTGCTCAGTCACATCCTCCCGAGGCATGTGACAAAAAATAAAACTTCATAAACAAATAACTGATATCTATGTTTGTGACAAGTGAAGTGGACTATATTTAAATACTGAAGTGGACACATTTCAGTGGGCTCCTGAAACACGAGTTCCTGTTTGGGACAGGTGTGTAATTTCTCTTAGCTAGTTTTAGATTAGACTAAATATTACACCCTCGCTGCAGGAAGGAGCGCTTTCGCAGATCATTCATCCCAACAGCAGTTAGACTCTATAACTCCTCAATCACGATGTCATAAGTCACTGGACACTGTGAACATCCATGGTCACCACTTCATGCATAATGGACCTTCCATGTGTATGGACATGTGCAGATATATATGTATGTATATGTATACATATGTATATTTAGTGTGTGTGTGTGTGTGTGTACATGTCTATAAATAGGAATAGTAGTGGTACAATACCTATATCAAGCTATATAGTTTATGTCTTCCATATTTCCAACCATATCCATAATCACATACTGTGTATGCTACCATTGTATATAGTGTATTATCTTACTTTTTTTCATTGATTGTACTTATTTGTATTTTTGTATTTCCTTCTGATATCTGTACCTGAGCTGAGGTGACGCAAAAGTTTCCCCGTTGTGGGATCAATAAAGTCTTATCTTATCTTATTGAATCTAAGCTTTATCAACGGGAAGTTACTACTTTAGTATGTAGTCGTTACTACTTTTTTCTTTTTTTTTTTCCCCCTTAAGTGTGTGCTTAACACAATAAAGTCAACATTGTTTAACAAAGTATACAACACACTCGGGCAGAATGAAAAAACAGGATTTCATTTAGATGCTTGGCTTCCTTAAAAAAGTCCCACTTTATTAAAGTAAGCATTGGGGTTCCACTGCTTTAAAAGCCACCATTCTGTTCCCTAACAACATCAACAAATAACGTGTTGTTAAGTCGTGGTACTTGATAATCTAATTGCCAATTTGACAAATGCCTGTGTTTCTACCAGGAACCGTAACGTGGTACAACTTCAAGCATCCCGAGCAGGCAGCTAAGGTTTCAGATGTGTGAAGTCAAGCCGGGTTTTAGATGAAAGGTGTGTTAATGCGGCTTGAACTCCCCACTGAGCAGCCAATAAAGTGTAGCACAAGCTGTGAAAGAAAGGGCAGGTTTTAAAAAGAAATATTCAAAGTGAGTATGCAAAGAGAACAGCCTTGCATGAAGAAAACACGGCCAATCCTTCTATTTATGAAAGCGAGCACTAAGGTGTGGCTGCTTTTGTAGCCTAAGATAAACCTGATCTGGTCAATAAAAGGTAAGTGTACTGTGACTGAGATTCTCATTGCAAGCCATGTTGATTAGCGGCATAAAAATAAATATTAGCCAAACATTTATTAACCTTTGCCACATCGTTATCAGAGTTCAGTATGAAAAGTGGTAAGCCATCTGTCCTTGCCTATTGGGTCAGTGGCATGTCACCTAGGTAACTTGCCTCCCAGCTGAAGCTGTTAAAAGCTGGATTAGTGTTTGCTTCCACATAAATGATTAATCAGAAACACAAAGAAGGTGAGATGTGCTCATTCAGGCTGGAGCAGCTGTTAAAGCTCATGTATGGCTAACATGATCATTTGCCTCGACAAGTTTCCACATGTTGGCGAAGGATGAAATAAAGCCACTGCTACACACGTGAAGTAAAGGGAAAGCACCGCTGATGTTAGTCAAGTGTAATGCTGTGTGATCATGGCTGTGCGCTGCTATGGTATTACTGTAAAGATTAAACTCCTAAGATGACTGTAATTAGAGGAAAAGTGTATAAACCCCTGGTTACACTTGAACTCCCTGCTGGAGATTTGACGCTGAGAATTATATCACTGGACTTTATGTTGTTTTAGAAAAGAAATCACTAATTGCTTTCTTTTTCTTTAAAACCCTTTCCAACCTCTTTCTTCCATCTCTACTCTTTATTTCACTGTAGTATACGTGGTTGAAGACCGGAGAAGGGATGACACAGCGGACACATGTCTGACAGCCTGCTGGACAGCTCTGTGCTGCTGCTGTCTCTGGGACATGCTGACATAACGCCATTCCCCTACTGATTGACCCCCATTACCCTCTTGCCCCTATTTCTGTGCCTCGAAGCCCATCGCCCTTTCTCCCATCTGACTTAAACCTTGCACTTCCTCACAAACACCCCTCTGTTCCCTCCAGAAGTCTCGTATGTCTGTAAAGCTATAAATTACTTCTATAAATGAAGTCTTCCCTCCCACGTGGAAGCTTCATCCCAGTACTCTACCTTCATGTGCAACCCTCCACACTGACTAACCTGTCCACGGTTACACAGTAGCAGTTTCTAACAGAGCTTGTAAACATTACCAAAATCTCAGGCTCCTTACTAAAATTGTGCAACAACACACAAGCTACAGATTTGCACACACAATATGGTAGATGCCAAACATACAGCATACTATGATCTCAGGCTCATCCTGCGTGATTCACTTGGGCACTTTATAATGATTGCCTCTGTAATATACTCCTTCCTGTCTTCATAACCACAAAAGCTTTCCTTACTCCTCGCCTTCAGCTATGCTATCTGCAAAACTTCAAGGACTTTTACCCAGTATGATGATACCCAAAGGCTGTGAGAACCCCGCTGCAGACAGGGCTGATGCTTGAAATGTTTCCCATCTCATTTGCACACAAGTCATTTTAACAAATGTACGTTTGTCCATAGGCGATAAGACAATAAATGGAATGCTCTTATTTTATTATTTTTTAACAGTGATTTATGTTTGATTAATGGCAACAGTTAACAGCCACAATGTTTTTCTTCATATACAAAGAAATGACTATCAATATTATTTTTATTATATTAGCTTTTCAGCTTTATTTCTCACTGAAACAAGATGTTGTGATTGCTATACAGACTGATCCAAATTACCCATACGATGCCTTTTTGCTGTAGATGATTAAAATAATTTATTGCCATAACCATAAAAGGCTCTGTTTTTTTGTTTTTTTTTTATTAAATGGGCAATGTGAATGAAGTATGTGTGTGTGTGATTTAGGCAGGGATGAAAGTGCAGATTTGTGGCTGTTGGTGACTGAGTTTTTAACTATTTTTAACACCAAATATCTTACAATCAAATAAAAGGAAGGGGGGGAGCAGAGGAGAAAATGAGACATAATTGGCAGCCAGTAGTTGTGGAGGAGGTAAATTACAAGATGCACAGTTACTCAAGCATAAACACTTTTAGGGTACTTGTACTTCTAGTGATTTTCTTTTTTGCCACAATACTGTCATAGTCTCAGTCAGTATATTTATTGCGACTTTGAAGCCATGGTTACTTGAAATGCAGGATCCTTTAAATTTTCAGAAGAAATAATAAAATAAACTGCACAGTTGAAACATCAATCTGTTGCTTATTATCCATGTTTATGAATCAAAATTAACATTACTATATATGTTCAGAATATAAAGAAGACTTATTTGTAATGTAAATTTCCGTATTTTACTTACACCTATAAGAGCTTTCTCTAATTGGCCACTTGGGGGCACTGTGGAAACAGTCTGTGAAGCTAAAATTCCCTTGTAGCAACATTTTCCCAGTTACACTACCACTCTGTTTGTGACCTTTTATCAAATATAAGTCTGAAACTCACCTGCAAGCACCACTGCTTAATGTTTCCACTACAGTTGCCAGCTAAGCCAGTTCACTGCAACTGGTGGTAACAAAAGGAGACTCTTTCCCCACCCAAACTGCCTGCTGAGCTAAGAATGAGCCATCACTGAAAAGTCGTGAGCTTTGAGCATGAAAACTATCACTTTACACGTTAAACATAGCATTAGACAGTTTTCACTGTATTTCACTTCATTTGTGGGATACAGCAGGGAGCTCACATGTGAATCAACTATAGTTTGTATGTCTTTTCTTTTTAAGCTTTCTTCCTCCTTTTTTGTCTCTGTTTCTGTTAAATGTGATTCAAAGCTTTTTAAAGTTATAAGTTTAACTTGTGCTTATGCTGCTGTAACCTACACTGACTCTGCAATTTATTATGTTCTTATTACTGCTAATATGCATTCAAACAATAACATGACGGAAACTTAAAGCATTTAGGTTTGAAGACATGGCTGACGTGACCTAGTTCAAACTAGGGTCAGAGTGGGAAGAAAGGTGATTTAAGTGACTTTGAATGTGGCATGGTTGTTAGTACCAGGTGGGCTAATCTGAGATTTCCCATAGAACATGTCTAGGGCTTGCAGAAAATGGTCTGGAAAAGAGAAAATATACAGTAAGCAGTTCTGTGGGGGAAAAAGCCTTGATGATGTCAGAGGCTGAACGAGAATGGCTGGACTCCTAATAGCTGATAGTTGAGTTACTATTGCCTCCCTAACGAACTCACTCTGTACAACCGTGGTATGCAGAAAAGCATCTCTGAATGCACGTTATGCCAAAACTTGAAGTTGATGGACTACAGCAGCAGAAGACCAGACCAGGCATCACTCCTGTCAGCTATTAACAGGAAACTGAGGCTACATGCCATGTGGTCTTATGAGTCTTGATTTTGCTGCAACACTTAGATGACAGGGTCAGAATTTGCCATAAACAACATAAAAAAACCATGGATTCATCCTGCTTTGTATCAATGGTTCAGCCTGATGTTGGTGTAACAGTGTGGGTGATATTTTCTTGTACCACGTTAGCACTGTTTAAATGCCACAGCTTAGCTGAGGATAATTGCTTACCATGTTTGTCCCTTTAACCATCATCTTTTCACAAAGCTCAGATCTCCTCAAACTACTTTCTTAAATATATGACAGTGAGGTCACTGTATTTAAATGGCTTCTACAGTGACCAGATCTCAAGCCAACAGAGTACCTTTGGGATGTGGGGTAATGGGAGAGTTACATTATGGACTTTGTGATGCTGTCATGCCAATTTGGAACAACATCTCTGAGGAATATTTCCAGAACCTTCTTTAGTCTGTGCCATGGAGACTTGATGCAAGTCTGAAGGCAAAAGGGAGTCCAACCCGGTACTGGCAAGTTGTACCTAAAAGAGCGAGCAGTGAGCGTAAATGGACAGTAAATTCTACACATTTTAATTACATTACTAATACCCATTAATACAAACATTTTTAATGTTTATAGGGAACATTTACTAGAGTAGTTGATGGTGGCATGGACATGAAAATGTCAGAGTTATATTTTTTAAACTGTGTTGACTGAGCTGGCGATATATCAGATCCTGCCCTGTGCCTTATCGCGATAATTGCCTGGGCAACAGTGAGAAACCCCTAAAAAAAAGGGAGACCACCACCTCACCTGTCAAACCTGGCAGGTGTATTGCGACTAAGAATGAAAGTGCAGGTTCGAGTCTGAGGTTGTGTTTTTTGGGGGCTTTTAAATTTGTAAGCAACATCATCAAAGGCACTGCGATATCATCTGCGACCGCACGCTCCTCCTTTATAATTAAGCCTTCATTGAAAATGCTGTCACATCTACTTTAGCTTATGTAAACATGCCCGAGTAAGTGTCAAGAGGCAGCAGATATAAAAAATGTAGCCCACCACCCCCCCACAGAGCATAGACGAGAGGGAAATGGTAGCTCTCTGTGTGTTTATAAAACACTGCTGTTAATTACCTCTTATTTTCTGAACAAACCTAAGGAAATGATGTACAGTTAACAAAGAAAGGGCTGGGTGGGGGCTGCCCGTTTTAATTATTGAAACTTTCCAGTACCAGCAACAAGCTCAAAGATACCTTTGAAATGCATTTCAGCATCACACAACTAATACGAATGCATGTCATAAAATAATGAGGATGTTCCGTATGAGTAACATCGGTAGTCTTCAAACGGAAAAGTGGGATGAAAGTGAAGTACACGTCACTCGGCTGAAGTAAACAATTATGTTTTATTGATAAGGTTTCTCAGAAGAGTCTCGTTTTCAGCGAATGTATAAGAATCATCCTTTGATAATACTGATTTGGTACATTATGACATCCAGCACGAGTCTCTTCACAGTGAGAGGGATCCATTACTGCTACTGCTGTTGGGATCTAGGACAGCTTCCGAACAAAAAGAAAAAAAAAAACCCAGTCAAAAACAACAAACTGGGGGTGGGGTGGGGGGGTCGATATTGTAGATATGGAGTATTAGAGTGCCACAAAACTCTAGAGTAGTAAGACCAGCTAAAGATTTTGCACATTACAAGCCACTTCCTCTTAGAAATATAAAACTTGATAATCTGAACAATATTCTACTGTGCTGCATAAAGGTAAGTCTATACACTGTACATCGAAATATATTTCGAAAAAACAGATTTCACAGTTTTAAAGACTTTATTTAAAGTATAAACTGTTTTTTTTTAAAACACTTTATTACATAAATTATTCTTTTTGAGAGTGACTATTATTTGCCCTGGCAGCAAACGGAAATGAATACAAAAAAACCCCAAAAATGAACAATTTCTTACATATCTTACAAAAGAAAATAAACTCATCCATTTAATGTTCATATTGAATAGAACTGGTGACTCATTCATGATTGTCATATAGTACTAAGAATAAATAAATTAAAAAAAAGAAGAAGAAAATCAAATAAATACTAACGTAAGCATGTTGTCTGGACTCTGTGATCGGTGTGTTTGATCATCTGTACAGAAGTGCCTTATGTGAAAGTCTCACAATTCTACCGCGACTGGAACGTACAAAACTACGGCATCTACAGTATACGCAACATCCTGAAATTCAGTGTAGTCGGACACATATGTAAGTAGTATGATTCTTTTCCCCATTTCAAAATAAACAATGCCGTGTGACACCACTGTCCACAAATATAGCCATCACATTTTTTTGACTTTGTTTTTGTTAAAAAGTTTACTTCGTAGTCTGTTAACAGCGTGGATTTTTCAAGGATGCCGTTAGCCCGCGTGTTGCTTGGTTGGGTGTCCGACGTGGACAATGGGAGGCCTGAGACAGGGAGACGACTCATAGTGGTGGGCAACTCTTAGCGTTGCCGTGTCTGTCGCTGTGCACGACGTCCTCCTTTTGATGAGCAGTTTTAATGGCGGCACTCTGGAGTGTATCTGCCTCCACTTTGGTCCCTTTTTTTTTTGTTTTTTTTGCCTCTAGCGTCGATTAGAGACAGATAAGCCTCGATCGCAGAAGCCACCGCAGTGCAAACCCTCCGTGTTACCAGTAGCTGTCATGGACGCTCTCAGTGTGACCCAAAAAATATGGGCAAAAATATCACTATCTTTTTTAAAAAGGGGAATCTTTTTACTCATTAAGCAACAGTTCTCAAAGTTCTTCAGTGCTTTTTCAGTTGTTCAAAGTTTTTTCAAAAGAAAAAAAAAAACAGAACAAAAAATCTGACTGACTAAACTGTATTTTTTATTTGTATTTTTATTTTTTTGCCTGTGGCAGTAAAATTAACAATGTGTTGTCTGGTAAGTCATTCTTTTTTAAAAGTCCCTGCAGCGTTCCGTGAATAACCCCGTTTGTTGGTTAAATCTCCATGGGTTTTAAGAGGAGGGAGGGTAAGAGGAAAAAAAAAAGGAACCGGGACAAAATCTCGAGATGTGAAAGTGGGAGAGAGTGGGAAGAGTCCGCCATTCCAGTGGGCTGTTACCTCTTGCCCATCTCGTTCTGTCTGAGAAACTGGATGTTGTTGCTGCTGTCAGCCAGTTCTGGATACTGCTCCACAGGCAGTACGTAGTAGCCGTCATAGCCCTGTACTCGACCTGTCGTTAGGAGCTGCTGTCTCTCCCCTTCTGTCCAGAGGCGACTGCCTCCCTTTCCGTCCCTAGCTCGCTGCTGTTCCTTGGCCCAGGCCCCCGCCAGCGCCCTCTGCCTGGCCAGCTCCAACAGTCTTACCTTCTCTTCGTCCAGCACGTCTGCAGCGAGCCCGTACCGAACGCTCAGTAATAATGACGGAACTGCAAACTCCACGGTCACTCCTCTCCTCGACCGCCCGCTCACTGTCACATTGATTCCGCTCTCCAGTGACTTTCGCCCATTTGTGAGCCCCAGGGCCAGCAGGTCGCTGTCAGCAGAGCCTACCTTCACAAAGTAGTGGCAGTCCTTTCCATCCTGTGTGTAATGCGTGCCTTCGAGGTACTGCGCACCATTGAGCACCAGAGCCACTTTGCGGCTGTCTTCGCTGGCCAGCGCCGACACGCCGGCCACCACTCTCCCCTCCTGCAGCGCCACCATTACTCCTCTGCCTATTATGGGGGTGCTGGTGCCGAACCAGTGGCCGGGCTTGTCCTTGCGCCTGCGACGCTCCTTGTTGAGCAGACGACCCTCCAGGGCCATGAAGGCCTGGTTGTGGCGCTCAGCTGCTTGCTGCACGCCGGTTATGAGCTATATAGCAAAAGTTAAAGAAAAGCTTTGTCACTTTTTTGAAAGAGATGATAATGTAATAACACACAGCTGACTGCAATGAGTAAATACAGGGCACATTTATATTAGATTTAAAAGAAAATGGTCAATATTTGATTTAATAATGAGAGTGGGTATATATTTTAAATAGGTGTACCTGTCCGTTCTCACAGTGCTGGGTGGCCTGCAGCTCATACGGTGGCTCCACAAAGTAGAGCGAGTGTCGAGGGAACCCTGGGATTATGTTACTGAGCTGGAAGCCAAACATTACCAGCCAACTCTTCACATCTACAGCAAGCAGACGAGGGGAAATTACTTTTGCTGAATGACAAAGTTAAACACAGTAGCAAATGAAGCAGTGGTTTTAGTATAACAAAAAACCAAAAAACTGAAAGCGTGTTTGCTTTTGTGACTTATCTCGTCCGTGCCATCTGTAGTACATTGTTACTAGCATAAACTATCTAGTCCACAACAATCTGTTCTGCTGAACACTAGAGATTCCTGACAGTCTGAGGACATAAGCTAAGATGAGCTTGTTAAGTAAACTAGAAGCGTTATTTTCCCTGCTTTTTAATATGCCAGGAAGAAACACAGCCAACCATCTGAGACAGAGTACAAGGGCTAAATATTCATACAACACATTTCACCATTTGGCCCACATAATATTTGTAACTATCTACCTGTGACGTAGTTTTTAACATCCAGCATGTCACTGAGTGGGTTGTTGTTCTTGAACATATACAGATTAAAGGGAGCGGGATCTTTTCCTATCTTGGGCCACATGCTGTAGTCGGGTGAGGTCCACCGCCCAGCCAAGACGTCGTAGTCCCGCTGGGTGAAGTGGACCAGCTTTGTCAAGGGGTCGTACAGGCCGCCGTGGAAACCCACCACCAGTTGGAACTCTGGGTTAGAGTCCAGATACACCTCGCCGTAGGCGGTGTACTGGACCTGGGTAAGAGAAGCAGATCAGTCAAATATAAACAACAATGCGGATGGTGGAGGGAATAAATGTGGAACAGGTGTGATTCATAGCTGGATACCTGTTTGATCATTTGTCCATTGCTGCTGAAGACTGCTAGCGGTGTGCCGGTGTTGTCAGAAGCTATGTAATATTCCTCTCCACTGCTCACCTCCATGGCAAAGAGATGACCCTGATCAATAGACAGTTACAAATTCCCATTTTAGTTCAGGATCATGTTTGTGCTGATTAATCAGTCTGTACCACAAACAAACAGGATGATCTTATAATTAACCAACCACGCCCACCTGGAGGTCATAGTAGAGTGACGAGATGTCAGAGCTGGAGTGATTGAAGATGTGCGTCACCCTGGTTGGATGGTTGAGGTCAGCATAGAAGAACTGAAGGTGCTGCCCCAGGCTGTTCCTCGTGGACACCCTGCGACCGAGCCCATCATAGTGATATACAACGCTCCAGCCTCCTGGACCTCTGTTGTACGCCCGCAGGAGCTGACCTTTGGAGTTATAGTCAAAAACGTCCGTCCCACGCTGACTCAGGAAGCCGTCTTCGTCCAGGCGATACTGGACATCTCCCAGGCGCGTAATGCGATCTCTGAGGTCGTAACGGAGAGGCAAGATCCGGGCACTGTTCCCAGGATTCAGCAGGTGGAGGTTACCGTTAAGGTCGTAGCTGTAGCGCCAGGTAGACCAATCATTCACCTGGAAAGAAACAATGATGTTTGTAAATCAGAGTTATGGATACTTCAGCCTCTAATGAAGACACACTGCACGGTTAGAATCCCAGCCTCTCTGCTCACCTTGACGCCACTGAGCTGTCCGTCTCCATCGTAATCGTAGCGGTACTGTGTGGTGTTGGCGTAGGGCCCGATCTTAAGCTCTCTCTTCACCACACGTCCCATGCTGTCATACTGGACCGTCATCCAGTACATGAGAGAACGGAAGATCTCGTACTGGACCTCCTTGATGCGACCGTGGGTGTCAAAATGCTTACTCAGTGTCATAACGGCAGTGGTGATGATTTGATTGATGTCGTAGTAAATGACCCCAAACTTTCCAAAGTGTTCTATCTGTAAGGAGGAAAAAGCAAGAAAGGTAAGCTACAAGTACTTGGAAAGGGCGTTGCTAAAACAGGAAAGCAAACCAGAACAAATCTTCTGCACCTTTCCAGAGATCTCATCATATCGGTAGAGGTCAACAGGCAGTGGCGTCTCACTGATAACCGGCTTCATGCTGGCAATCCGGAAGCTATTGTCATGGTAGGTGTAGTCGAACCGCGCGTTGACCATCCCCTCCTCACTGAAGCGATAGATCTGCTTGTCGATAAGCGGGCCCATTTTGCGATAGCGGATGGTGCAGGAGAAACCCCCGCTCTGCAGGTTGACCATCTTTAGCACGCCGGCTGTCTCGTCGTACCCAAAAGTGACGGCGGTGCTGTCATAAATGATCTCCGACAGCTTTGTTAGCTTGCCGTACTTGTAGAGGACACGCCGCCCGGTGCCCAGGTAATGTACGGCCTGAGGTCTGCCGTCCTCACTGAAATCGTGGATGATGGAGGCGTTGCTCTCCGGAGGGTTGTAGGTGTTGCGAATATAGCCAACGGACACGTGCGTGAACATAGTGTGGCGAGCGACACTGGGCATCGTGACAGCTGTGACTCGACCCGAGGCGTCAAACTCAAAGACGTACTGCCTCTGGCTTTGCAGGAGCAGCACCATGGACTGGAAGCAGAGCAGGGAGGTGAAATACGGATTAATATAATAGCATTATCACTGGGTGACTTGTCTCCTGTGAAATAGCACCAGGAGTAATTTGCTCTCTCCCCTGACAAATCTGAACCTTCATAACCATAAAAATGATGTATTATTTCACTCAGTCCTACAATCCAAATTACTGTACTTTCTTGCTAATGCCTTCCTCTGGATGTGACTCTGCGGATGACAGTGTTGAAGATAAATGCACTCACTTTGTCAAGATAGCTGTAGCTCCACACCTTCCCGTCTACAAAAGAGCGAGACAGGATGCGTCCCTGGGGGTCAAATTCCGTCCTCTCACTCATGCTTCCCCTCTGCAGCCCTACAAGCTGTCCAGTGGCGGAGTACGACACGTTGACTACGGCCAGGCTGCTGCTGGGCAACCACATAGCTGGCCGGCCCTGAGCGTCGTACATGATGCGCAGCGTGAACTTGCGGTGATCGTCGTAAATCTTTTCCGTACGGGTGTTGCGATCGAAATCGATGGAGAGGAGATTGCGGCCATGAGCCTAAAGAAAAGGAAGGCGTTTGTCAGGTAAGTTAAGTGAACTGCACATGTGGCTTTTAACAAAGCAGTGGACAGTTTAGTAAAATTGGTTACCCTCAGCTTCCTCCCAAACACAGTGATCTTGCCCTTGGTCTGCTCCTTGCGCAGTCGCCACTCAATGGAGTTGAGACCATTGTCTGTAGGCAGAGTGATGTTCCTTCGGCCGATGGTTGGACTGACAGAACCCGCCAGGATGTGCGGCTCTGTGTGGAAACTGATGCCCATCCCATTGGCGTACATCACTCTTAGGGTCCCGTTGTTACACAGCTGATAGCTGTTCCTCACCTGGTCTGTAGGGGGACACCAGCAGACACGGCATCAAAGACAAGACGAGAGGCACACAAGACTTCCAGGTTCCAACTGAATAGCCAATGTCTTTTGGGAAGCTTCCACAATGAGTGAAGTCACCCGGAAATATGGGTGTGGCGACCATAATAAGAGCTGGTAAACACTAAAGTGCTTTAGTGCTTCCTTTATGACTTCCTTAAGCACAGGCTACAGCGGACTATGAAAGGAAAGAAGATAATGCTTGAGAACAAAGTGATGACTAGACTGCTAACCTGTCAGCCTAATGCCACATCTGGAGCTGATATACAAATACTTTGAAAACTTCGAAAACAAATACTTGAAACGTTCCACTTTATTTAAATCTGCTGCTGCCTCATGTGAAGTATTTTTCACCATGAGTTTACAAAAGCGGTATATAAATAAAGCTAATTAGCCATTTTAAAATAATGTAAAAGGGAAGGTTGTTTAGTTTAGTGTTGTGTGCTTATATCCTTGTTTTGGGAGCTGCTGCACTCACTGCCAACTTTTAGGATTATCATTACTTAATTTTGCTCCAGAGATGCTGAAAGCCCCAATAAAGGATGGGTTAAAGTCGATTCAGCGGCGTGAGACAGAAATAGAAAATACGAGTGGACAGGAGGGGGAGCAACATCTCTTAAGACAACACCACCGCTGTGACAGGAAAAGATATTCTTCTTAGAAACTCCAATCTAACTAATAAAGTGGAAAGTGCTCCATCTTTGGGCAATTTCAGCTTCTACCTGGCACACTAGTGTAAGTGCAGTCTCTTTGCCTACATCTTTGCAAATTCTCCTCTGCACCTTTCCTTTGCTTTTTCACTGAGGTGAATGAAAAGTGGTTTGAAAAAGAGAAAGTCTGACTATTCAACTGCAACCTAAGTTCTTGTGTTGAGATCCAAATGACAGTACCTCAGAAGAAGCGTAGTACCCAAATCTTAGCGAATCGAAACCTGAAAGTATTCGATTCAGGTCATACAGAAAAAAATTATAATCTATGAAATCAGAATAGCAATGTGAAGGTACTAATTTCATGTAGAGGATATTGGCAATAGATAGGATATGAACACTGGTGAGGAGAATACATTACGTTTTATGACCTTTCAGGCAAGGATACATAGGATCATTCACTCTGAAAATTACTGTACGTACAGTAAAAGAAGGTGAAAAGATAAAAAAACAAGGTTCCATCAGACAAGTTGTATCATTTTATCTTTGCACTGCTTTTCAACCGTACTGCATTTTCACTGTGGTCTGGGAAATGTTACATAAGCTTTCTACTGTTTGGATGAGCTGATTCTGTCAGGCAAACTGCAGCCTGTGTTGACAGATTCACATATTTACTCTGTTTTTTTACCGCACAAAATCCAAGCTTAGACCCGACGGACCAATCAGAAAAGATCCGACAGAACGGGCACTTTAGCATCTGATGGCGATGGGAAATCCGAGTCACAGAGGCTTACGTCAGTCGGAATCAGATCGTGTCCATTAAACGTTTGCGGACCTGATTTCTGACTCCTTCCCACAAACTGCGCGCTATTCTAAATAGAAAAATCCTCAGGCTAAAGAGACATCGCTCCACAATCAACATCTCTCCAATTTATCGACTTCAACAAGAATAGAGACAGATAAGCCCGTGATTAATGCAGAGGCTAAATTTTCCCTCTGATGTCTGAAAGCAAGCTCTCCTCCCCACCCCCGACCACAATGAAGTGATTAAAAGCGAGATTAAATTGTTTTCAGCTCAGAAATATCGAGAAGATGCAGAGTTGGGAGCTTTCTTTATTTCACTTACAAAAGGTGAGGGGGTAGGGGATTGGATGGTTGTCTCTTTGAAGTCCTGCCATAAATGACAGTAATCCATAAGGCCAATTTGTAATAAAGCTCCAGGCACATTTTAACAATGCCTCAAACAGACAAGTGAAGCTTTTTCCATTGACTTGGCAGCAACAGCCTTTAGATAAATCTTCTCCGCTCTCTCTGTCTGAACAACCTCGTAATAAAACAGAAGCGAGGTAGAGGGATAGCGAGCGCGCGTGAGAGAGAGAGGGTGAAATGAGAGCTGGAGGGCCAAGGAGAATTCACTGTGCTGGAGTTAATGAAGAGAGCGAGAAAGAGCCGAAAGTGAGGGAGACGGTTAAGTGAGTATGTCAGCAGAGAGCTGTGCTCAAACCCACACAGTGCAGTGGAAACCTTAAATTACTTACAGCCGTGTGAACAACTCTTCTCCTCTACCGCAACAAAGGTGGACGACTAAACATATATGTAGACGCAACGTTTTCTAAATTTTTTTGGACCGTAACGAGTCTGGTCTGGATTCAGACGTCTGTCACACGGCACCGGTCAGTGGGGGGGGGTGGGGTGTCGGGAGAATTCTTCTTCTTCTGCTTCGTCTTTGTCCCCCCACCTCTCTAAACAGACCAAATAAGCTCAGGGATCATGGGAACTGTCAGTATGTGTGTGTGCGTGTGTTTCTGTCTGTGTGTAAGGAGAGAGCTTGAGGGATGAGGAGGATTCACTCTACACGAGTTAATGAATTTTGCTGTGATGATATTCAAAAGCAGGATGATCCCAGCTGGGATTAACTATATATTGGTAATTTTACTCCTTAAGAGGGGAGCGAGAGAGGGCTGGGTGTGGGTTGGGGGAAAGAAAAATAATCTCCTGGAGCATGCACATAACTGAGTGAAAATTAGTAGACTTTCAATTAGAGCCGGCAGGCCTGAGCACATTCAGCATCAGAGGGCGGCTGTGTTTTTTTGAATGCTAAGACAAAGCAGTGCTAGAGCCTGCATGAATCTCATTAGGGCGATGATACCACATAAACAGATCTGCTTCACCGTTATCAGGATTACTTAAAAGTCTACTCAGAATGACTAATGAATGATAGTTGCTTGATTTACACTGTGCCATGTTGATAAGTTGAACCCAGGATTAGCCTGTCTTTGTGCCATATCATTTCACAAGTATTTAAAAATTCAATTCCGGATCATTTTTCCTCTGTGTGTCCAGGAATGTGCTAAGCGTGTCCCCTACCTTGTACCACGGTGTATGAGGCTTCAACCGAGGACAGGTTGGTGATGACGGTGACATCGTCGTCTCTGCTCGAGCTCTCAATGTCGATGTTGATGGAGCGCTCGATCTCTCGGTGCAGACTTGTCACCATGCCCGTTGGGTATGTCACGTTGGTCAGTCGACCCTCGCTGTCATACCTGCGAAATGGGAGATTGCAGACTTGTTCATACTTGTGCCACCTGTGTGTTGAAAATCAAGCGCACACCCAACAGTCACAAAAAACAGTTTGGCAAGGGGGTGGGGGTGTTTGGTTGTAGATATAAAAGCTAACACTTGGGGGCAGCAGAGCACTGTGTGAAACTCAAGGAGAAAGCAGGAATCGGAGGACGGGAATTGATGGAAATGAACCCGACAGCGCTCAAAGAAGACAATGCACACAGTGTCACACACTTACTGGTAAAATGTGGTCCATCCAGTCTCGTCAGCTTTGGTTGCCAGGAGGCCCGTGTTGCCACTGTAGCTCATCAGAGCCACTTCTTGGCCCAAGGCTGACACACTACGCAGCCCCCCACTGGGGTCCAGTGCAAGGGTCACCACTTGATTCTCAGGCAGCAGCACCAGTCTGAGCAGGCCGGCTCCTCCTCCTTGGCCCAGCCCATCCCGCCTCACTTTCACAGTATTGTTGCAGTTATCCACCAGCATGGCCAGCTCGCCGTCGGGGCTGTAGGTGAAGTTGAAAAGCGGCTCCCCAGTCACGAGGCTGACTGTCTGGATGTGAAGCCCCTCCCCGTTGAAGACGTACAGCTCCTGCTCCCTCGGAGACGCGACTTCGTACTGCGCCGATCCCACGTACCCGACGCTCGAGAGGGCAGGGCCAGGCCGGTTCGCTCGCACGGCTCGGATGCGTATGTTGTTGAGGTCTGCAATAAAAAGAGTTCCATCGGGGGACACGGCCAGGGAAGTCGGGGAGTTCAAGCCAGCATCGGGGGCGTAGCCCTCGTCACCATAGAAGCAGTTGCAGTTGACGTCGTTCTTGCAGTCGCAGTCAGAGGCAGCACCGGCCAGGAGAGAGATTTCTCCATTAGTGCTCACCTAAAAATAAATAAATGAACAAATAAATAAATAAATAAATAAATAAATAAAAACACCCACACTTTGAACAAAGAAACAACCAGACAACCACATACCTGTCTCACTCGGTTAATCTTTTTCTCATCTGTTTCGGCGATGTACAGGATGCCGGTGTGGGACAAGGCGATGGCTGTGGCGCTCTCCAGGGCGGCGTGTATAGCCAGCTTACTGAGGCTGTAGTCAATGCCCGGCACTTGGCAGTGCATAGGCCGACCTGCTATAATGCTCACCTTTAGGAAAAAATGCAGAAAGTATTGATGATCCAAAAAAGTAGGATGCCAACATAAGATTCCAAAGTAGTAAGTAGTATCTTCCTAGAACTAATTAATCAGTAATTTTCCTGCAAAACTTAGAAAACTTAGAATTTGAACTTTTAACTTCTAAATTGGCTTTAGGAAGGCTAATTGGGACGAAATCTTGTCAAAAGCCTATGGTGAGTGTGCACTCTAATGGGTTTGCAGCCCTGTATGTACAGACCTGGTGGTTCTCAGTGATGCGTAAAATGACGTTGTTTTCCAGGACGTACAGAGAGTTGTCCATGGGGTTCACTGCTAAGTCTGTGGGCCACTCAAGACGCACCTGACGGGCAGAAACAGAGGTTATACGATCTGTGAGACGGTATCTATACTGAAAGGGTGCCAAGGTTCAGACAAGTCTCTTATTCATTTAAGTGACTGCAGCAGTGTTCACTTTCTTCTGATCCATTCATTTATCCATTGACTCTTTAATCCCTCCCTAAATCAGTTTCTCCCTGACCTCCCGGCTGGCTCTACTCCACAGAGTCATCATAGCTCAGCACTAAGAGAGCTCTTAGATCATCATCAATCACACCATCGGCTTTTGTCTCTTTTCCCCCCCTTTTCTCTCCCACCTGGCTGACGTCCATGCTGGTGTCACAGCTCAGAGGCCGCACGGCGGTCAGGTCGTTAGCCCCCAGCAGAGTAGAGATGATGCCATTCTGGTCCACCTTGCGGATCATGGTGGCGTCCACGAAATACATCAGCCCGTTTTTATCCACTGCGATACCTGTCAGCGGGGGGAGATGAACACCGTGAATGACGACTCATAACTCAAACACTGCGGGGCCATACCCATAGACATTTTAAGTCAATTAAACTTCACTCTTTCAGCCGCTGAAAATGAATAGCAGCCCGGGCCGCTCAATTGCTCAATGCTTCACCGAATGAGAGGGAACACAGTGATGGAACGGGCATTGAACTGTTGAGAAATGTTAGTTTTGGGATGAGTCATCGGGATGCCGAGCTGAACTCCCCTTAGAGGGCAACCGCAGACGGCGCGCAGATCATCTAGAATGGCGAGTGATCTCTTGCGCTTCTCTTCCTTCCTTGGTTTCCTCTTGATCTCTTTTTTGTCTCTCTCCGTTTCATCCTTTATCACTGGGTTGGTGTCACCCCGTCAGTCTATCAGACAGCAGACGCTCAGAGAGGTGTGACTGTTCAAGTAAAGTGTGCCCAGAAATAACTTCTAGATGCACTGGGATAGTAAACAACAGATGGAGGATACAGCGAAGGGTGCACAGAGTAAATGATACGGAGATAAATAGGAAAAAGAGCGGAAGAGCTGGAGGAAGAGAAGAAACAGGAAAAGGGAGGAACTGACGCTTTCTGACTGCGTGACTGCGAGAGAATCAGCAGTTCATTGTCTTCCCCGATCGTCCCATCTTATCTCATGAACCGTGCATACACACACACACATGCATGCACTCTTGCATGCACACAGTGTATATATTCTAACATCTGTGGCGCTACATGTACACACATGACAAGAAATGTGACAGTGTGACATCCTTGACAGTTTGGTGTCACAGTGTTCTGAGATCCAATGATCCACAAAAATAATCCCATTATAAGTTTAACATTAACCTGGTTTATAACCTCCTTCTGTCTCTGTCCTGCTTTAGTTGAGTCATAAGATGGGCGCATTATGAAAAAAAAAAAACTAATCAGTGAAAATGTAAGCCCCCTTAAATTACATGTCTTGTGAACTGAACTGTAGATCGCAAAGTGGAGGTCTCCTCAACAAAACTCATTTCGAAGGATGTCTTAAGAGTCTGTATCCACATTTTATACTGTAATACAAGAAAATGCAATTTGAACAATATGAAGTTAACTGTGACGTGAAATTCCCCCTAAGTGGCTCACCTTTGGGGCTCATAAGTGTAGCTTCAGTGGCTTTTCCACCGTCGCCACAGCGCTCATCGAAGGGCAGGCACTGCTCCCCGGTCCCCGCCACGACCTCAGCATTATCCGACAGCAGACGACCACCGGTTAATGACCGCACGCGGTAAATCCGTCGCGAGTTTGTGTCTGAGATAAACAGCGCTCCAGATACCGGATCCACAGCCATAAAGTATTTATGGGTTGGGTTATTACTGAAGCAAAAAAAGACAAAAAACCCAAAACAGGTATAATTATAAAATCAGCCTGGATTTACATTGTAAATGATACTTTGAAGCGCTTTTGCATTTATTTTTTCCTTTGCTGGCATGTTGTTGTTACGGCCCTAGCAGGGCCTCCTCCTGAAGGTGCCTGTGTGGGCGTGTCCCACTACCTCTTCTGCCTGAGGTGCCACCTTTCCCTTTTGTGCAGCTGACTCTCGTCAGTAATTAAAGAGATTTAAGCCCAGGGAAAGGTGAGCTCTGGGCCAGAGTGCCATTAGTGTGGTTGCAGCTAGTGAGCTGTGTATTTGTGTGGTTGCAGCTAGTGAGCTGTGTGTTTGTGTGGTTGCAGCTAGTGAGCTGTGTGTTTGTGTGGTTGCAGCTAGTGAGCTGCTCTCTTTTTGACTTACTTTTTACTTTATTGACCAACGCTTGAGTTTTGTTTGTTTTCCTTAAATGGTGATAGCGTCTCTTTTAGTTGAGCTACTTTAATACAACTATTTAATTGAACCCTTTTGCCTCCTTGACTCTTTTTTTCTGACCCGGATACTTTTTGTTACTTCCCCCTTCATCGACTGGACCCTTTTAGGGGAACGTAACATTGTTAATTTTTCATCCTGAGCCTCTTACCTGTGTCTGAAATCTTTGTTCCTTTAAGAAAAGAAAGGGAGACAGAAGCACAGCAAAACAAATGTTAATTCACACAGTCTGCACAGAGCAACCTACAGAGAGCAACACAAAGCTGGCAATGGTGTGAAGAGCAACATTTAAAGATGTGTAAAAACACCCTGGGGAAATGTTATCTAGCACAGTCTATATTTCTTGCCAGTCCAAGTCTCTCACCTCACTTCTTTCATCTAACATCTTGTAAGCACTGAAAACATCCAGTCTTTATCCACAATTTTTCCTTTTCCTGGTGACTTACCTCAATATATCTGCAACATAGAGAAACCTCTAAATTCACAACTGCTTTCCTATTGATTACTATTCTATTAATTTGTAATTTACTGTCCCATAGATCTGGAGGTTTACCTCAGTTCCAGGATGCCAGTTGTGTTCATAGATGGGTAGACCCGGCGCACAAAATTGAGGTCCCCGACATACAGGCTGCCATCGATGCCCATTGCCAAAGCAACCGGAGCCAGCAGCTTGTTGCCGTCCGCGAGGCCGTTACAGCTGGGGCACGAGATGCTGCGCCTGCGGCCGTTTCCCATGATGCTCGTGATTACCGGAGGCTGCTCTGTCACAAAGATGTTTTCCCCGCTGCCTTTGTGAAGGATGCCTGGGAACAACAAAAGACAAACAGATATATCAAAAGCAGATAAGGGCTCATTATTCCACAGGTAACAGTGGAATCAGCTACCCCCAATCACATCCACCCCGATGTAGAATTGGTTTCCTTTAACTTGTTGCTGAAGCCATCAAGAATGCAAAATTTAACTTGTTCAATGTTTTTTTAAATTTAATACCTGGAAGCTTTTAGCCTCGGCTGAACTTGTGCATAGTGAGCTAATTAGCTCGTTCAAACCAAGCGGCAACCCCTAGGGTTGAAAAACGAAGCCAACATAAAAGTGCCAAAACCCCCCAAAACAAAACTACAGTTCCCTTTAATTGGTAGCTATCAGCTAATTCAACTCACTGAACATGACTGGGTTTGCGGTGACAAATATTATGTCAGCTCATGTCCAAGAAGCCGAGGTTCCAGTTTTAATGAATGAAATTCTAGTATTATTTCACATTTATCTCTGTCTATTCGAGGAAACGACACGGACTTGGTAACCGAGCTTACTGGCACTAGTTGATCCTGCGCCAACACGGCGATGGCCATAATGCTAAAATTAAGGCTTCACAATTGGAGTTCACAAACCAATAGGTGAGATCATCTATCTTTTATATACAGCTTATGGAATACCACTTAAGCGATCCCAAACTAAGTTTTGGCAAAGGTGTCTCTGCCAACCACACCACCTGTCTCTGTTTTAGTAGCTGCTGCTGATTGGTCGGTGCACACTTTTAGTGGATGAGGGAGTCAAACTAGGTGAGACAACACTTCCTGTGAAAATCCTCACTGACAGGTAAAGTCTGGCAACTTCAACTAGAGGAAGCGCAGTGTGGTCTAACCCCTCTCCACCATCACCACCAAGACAATAGCACATTGAGTACTGTAAACCTGCTACACACAGGGAACGGGCTAAATATAAACTGGAAGGCAAAACAGGGGACAAACAGAAAAGGCTTTTGCATAACTATCAGTGTGTAAGTGTGTGTGTGTATACGTACCACTGCGTGTGTTGAGTATGTGGTGCTTGTTGAGCGACCAGCCGCCCAGATTTGTGGGATCCAATTCGTAGCCCTGCAGGAGGGCCGTCCTCTTCTCCCAGAGGATGAGACTGGCACATGACTCATACTCATAGCCCACTGACACTACATGCAGGAAAGAGTAGAGGCAAGAGAAACGAGAGGGGTGGGGTTGGGTGGAGGGGAACGTGCAAAATAAAGGGATGAGAAAACATCAAAGAATCATTTAAGAAACAACACAGGAAGAGAGGCTGTGAAACTTCATCAAAATCCCAAGTTCATTTAAGGTGTGAAACACAGAGAAGCTAGTTAGCACCTGTACCAAAACCTGCACTCGCATCTTACTAACACTCTGGCATGCTGTTAAATCAATTAAAAAGCTTGCTAATTGGAAAGATTGCCCTTTAAACCTGGAGGCCACACTGGCTGCAACGGTAAAAACTTTGCTCGTGGAAAAATAATGCCCTGATCGTGTTCGCGTCCTGACTGAGCCACGGTTAATTTGAGTAAATAAATTGAACAATTAAGGGAAATTAGTTGCGATCAGGTGTATTTTTGAAGACTACTCAGAGAGTGTTTGTGTTACGTGCTTGTTTTCGGGGTTTTTTCATGGGTGTGCTGTTGTGTTCCTGCTTGTTAAAGGGAAAAAAGTGTGTTAACACATCATCTCCCTCCTGAGTCAAAGAGAGTGCTGCTGCCAGCACATTTTCAGCTTCACTACAAGCAGTAATGCAGTATACCTGTGTCTGTATCTATGCTTAGCAAAACATAACCTAATCATCAGCCACGTATGTCCTTTATATTCTCCAGGAATTGGAAAATTGCTCCTACTCAAGGGACATTTAAGATCTTTCAGCGAATGCAATTTTCCAAACAGTGTGCCCCTCCACACTGAAGCCCCAGATGTCCACTGCATCTGTGGCCTGACAGCAGTGTTTGGCTGACAGCATCTGTGAGCGACTGTGACAGCAGAATGTAATAGCACTGAGGCTCCCCTGGACTCCTGCTTGCTGCTCCAGTAGTTAACTGCTAACTCCTCCTGATGGTTAATAACCCTTCACCACAGTTACGGCTGGCTGACTGAACCAAACGCGGCTTCAATGAAAAATAGACATATGAAAAAAAAAAAAAGAGCCCTTCACTGGGGCCATATTGCGAAGTGGATCCAAGCTGGGTTTCTGGTGTATTATCTCCCCTTCAGGCTCACTAATTAGCCCCACTCCCTCTGTCATAACCAGTGCTGTCTTAGTGGTAAAGTGTCTAATGTATTCAGGGTGTGCAAGGCTGGGAGAAAAAAATGATCTGTGCCCGCCAGCACAGCTTTTCCTCTATCCATCCCTTCCACTTACCGACAGCTTCGGAAAGCCCGTAGACCCTTTGCCCATATGCATCTGTCTTATCCCAGATGTAGGTATATGCCAAGTTGGGCGAGGCGTGGAACCACTTCTGGAAGAGGTGGCCCTCCACCGCGACCATCAGGTGAACCTTCAGAAGGCCCATGGACACCACAGCTGGAGTCATGGTGACCTTGAGGAGGGAGCGATAACCTTGGGTCCTGGAGCTTAGGTAGCACAGCTTTAAACTTGTGCCAGGCACCTCGATCTGCTCATGCAGCACCTGGAAGACAAAGAGAGGATGGTGGGAGAGAGGGATTAGGGAGGATTAGAGAAAGAGGGAGTAATGGGGGTCACGCTTCCACTGATGGCTGAAGGACAAGAAATGGCAAAAAAACAATGGGAGAAATAAAGGAATAGGAAAGAGGGAATAAAATGGGGGAACTATGGAAGCGGAAGGAGAAAGAGAGCTACAAAAAGATAAGCATACAGGAGAGTGGGAAGAGAGCGAGGGAACCAGAAGGAAGATTAGCCGGCAGCCAGAGGTCAGTGGTACTGCACCTGTGTCTCCGGTATGATGGGTTTCTCCCCTGGCTTGGAGCTGAAGAAGGAGGAGAGAGGGGATGCAATCACAAGTGGGTCAGGCCTGACGAAACCGCTCAGGTCACAGCCTGGGATCGTGTTCTCTTCTGTCTTAAGCACCAGAGTGTCCATAGCATAAAACTGGCTCCAGGGCAGCCACACGGTGCGCTCCTGGCTCAGGAAGGGGGCGCGCTCGAACCGAAGGGTCAGTGATGCACCACCATTAGCTATCAGGTCAAACCTGGAGAGGTTTGCGAGAAGAGGACGGGAATGAGGTATACATGGGGAGTGCCGTGGTGGATGGACAGGCCAAGTTACTTGGACCTAAACAGAGCTTAACACAGCAATTACTCCACAACAACAAAACACCTGAAATAAATATTCTGACATTATTAATTACGGTCCAAAAAACAGTACACAGACCACAACAAGGTGACAAGTTGAAGGCCAACCTAGCCATCGGTCTGCTCTGAAATATGAACAAGGCGACGTTAGACCACACGTCTCATAACAGAAGTGATTTTATTAGATGTTATCCTTTTACCCTTTGTCACTAAATTATGGGTAACAGCTGTAGGTTAATGATTAGTAGAGGAAAAGGTCACACACACACATACACACACACGCACGCACACAATTGACACGTCTTATGGGAAACGGCCAGAGCTGCGTGAGGAGCTGCGAGAGCCTCTAACAACTGGAAGAAAATAACATAAAATCCGCGAGACCAAACAAGACCAGAGGCAGACGTGTTCATTGAAGACCGCGTCTGGAATTCAAGGTCAATTAAACATTACAAGAAGTTCGGATATTTCTCGAAGAAAACGCTGCAAAGAAACAAATGATAAAAGGCGATTGCTTAAAGAATATGACAGAAGACAGGGAGGGGAGAAAAATGTATTTTTAATGCGTGGAGATCAGGCTGAAGAACCAGTGAATCCAATTTTGAAATAACATGTTAGAGATGTCAGCCAGACTTAAATTCAATAGAAGTTGTTGGGGGGGAAATTGGACAGAGAAGTCAAATCAAAGCAGCCGAGAAGCTGGAATTCCTGCAGAGGAACTAAAAAGACATGTAAGATGACTTAACTAAATGTCTTTGGAAAGTGGCTATCAAAGAAGAAAAAAAACCTAAGAAATTCAAAATTGCTTAAGCTGTTAAGGCTTTGATTCAACCCTGCTTTGATTGCTACAGTGAAAAAGAAAATCACATGTGAAATCACAAAATCAAATCAAGTTTAACAGGAGGAAGAAGTAAGAGGTAATGAAGTAGAAGGAAGAATTTAAACCCTACATTGCGTTATGCACTTTGTTTGTCCCTTTCTTCCTCTGCATTTGCTATAATGTACATGTGTTTTTCTTTTTAGCAGTTTCACTTCAGAGAAGATTCTAGTGTTACAATCCTCAGTTGTGTTGTTCTTGTTACATACATTTACTCCTCTGCTATTTGAAATCTCCTTTTCTTTCATGTATCTAATTATTTGTTCCACCAACAGCACTGCCTTCTCGTGGGATCAGTTTTCTAACCTAATCTAATCAAATCTGATTTAATAACAGAGCCTATGTGGTGAGGTAGTTTCCATATTTCAGCAAGGAGTGCTGGGTGGCTGTTGTACATACATTCCATCCTGCCGTGTCAGCGTGTATCCGTAGTGGGGATAGTTGACAAAAGACACGTTCACCCCCACCAGAGGGGTTCCATCTGTAGTCAACACCTGACCCCGAATTAGAGATGCCAAGCTGGAAGAAGACAGAGGAGACACAAGTGAGGGGAGCGAAAGTCAGCCTGTCAAACCAGTCTTCCCAAACCATCCATCATCTGATTTGATTAATCTCTCCATCTTTCAATCATCCAATTTGCCCATTCAATTATTGCCCTGCTCTTCCACCACTCATTAATTAGAAACAATCAGCTACCCCCACCGTCTAGATGAGCTCGTGTCAATCACGTAAACAAACCATGACAATATAGATGGGTATGTGCGCGTATTGTTAAGTACGGGCGAGAGATTGCATTCTCGAGAACTAATAGACGCAGATTAACATTTAAACATTTCAGGGTAACGTCGCTTTGATAAGTTATTTTCTTTGAAACGTCCGATGTCGGCATGTGTAAATATATTCGGAGGAAAATCAACACAGTGGACAGCGCTTCACAGCTCTTCTAAATCTATGGGGAATCTTGGCTTGCCAGCAATTGGCTGTGGGATTTGTTAAGGTCTTGGCTAGCTGTACGAACCATTTCAAAGTCTATTTGATATTTGTTTTTGGAAATCTAAAGATTGGAAATTTTCCACGGCTCATATTTTTTCACTTAAATGTCAAATCTTTTAAGATTCGCCTGAAATGCAAACTTGCAGTCATGCACAGTCACCACACAATGTTACAGTGTTTGCAACACCAACGAAAGACAAAGTAAATGTAAATGATCAAAGCTTTTATCCTGCATTCCTACTTTCATTATTGGCTTGTATTGCTAGTTTGTGGGGCGTAGAACAGTATCACTACACTGTATGTATAGATATTCACCGGTGACTTCATATTATTCTCATATTTTAAAATATGAGATCTGTAATGTTTCTGTGAACGGCTCTTTTGTGTCACATTCTTAAGATATGGCCTTAGTTGCTAGCGGTTGAATTTCCTGCCATACCTGGAGTTGAACGGGTTTTCCAAAGGGATGATGTGGGTGCTGTCCCGTCCCACAAGCATCTTGACGCGGTCGTAGAAGGAGCGGACTCGTGGCTGGGACATCGGGCTCTGCTGGATGACTAGCAGAGGGTCCCGGGAGCCCCGGCACAGGGGGCTGTTCTGGCAGGGACTCTGGATGCAGCAGTCTGGGTCCATGCAGTCTGTCAGTCCATCTGATAGAAGAAGAGCAATGATAAATGCTCTAAGGGACGCGAAAAAAGAAGAAGAAGCTTTGAATAATCTGTTTCTTTCACTTAGGAAAGTTTAATTTTGCCATCCACAGTCAAGGCTCTTCTCAGGAGACCTTAATTTTATATTTTGTTTAATTTATTATTTTCTCCATCATACTTTATTTCTTTGAAGAAGCAGATTTTGCTAATTGAATTCTTAAGGCACTATACGCCCCCCCCACCCAAACTCACCTCCTTCGTTGTCCTTGTTGTCGGCACAGGAGGTCTCCATGGCAACACTGCAACCAGGACCCCTCCACCCCGTCTGACATTCACAATGCCAGCTCTGCTGGCCCATGGTGCACTGGCCGTTACCGTTACACAAGTTAGGACAGCCATCTGTGAGAAGAGGACAGGAGAGGAGAGAGGGAGGGGGGGAGGGAGAGAAACAGGGTGATGTTTGTTTTATCATTAATGATGCACAGATGAAAACACACACACACACACACACACGCACAAACACACGCACGCACACATATGCTCATATGGTAATGATAGATCAATGAGTCACACTCAGTGTGGTTACCAAATAATGGTAGCATACTGCCAGTGCTGATTGTTCAGGAATCAATTCCAATCAGGAGGTCAGTTTCCATGCACACCTTTCCATCTTTATGTCTCTGCACCTGAGGGATGCCTCCTAGTGTGTGTATATGTGTGTGTGTGGACCGAGGTGGATAGATCACTTTATTCACTTACTGGATGGAGCCCAACCCGATCATCTCTCTCTCTTTCTCGGGTGCAGTTTCACTCTCTCTCTCTTACTTATGATTCAGTGTAGGTAATGGGATTCTGATGGCCTGAGAGTAATGCTTTCTCATGAGAGAATGAGATTATGCTTGACAGAGTGTGTGCGTGCATGCGTGTGTCTGTGTGGTGGCAGTCTATGAACTAATAAACCTTCGCTTCGGCGTATGCAAAAAACCCTTACCAGAATCTACGACCCTGGAGCCAAGTAAGTTCTGTAACTAGCATAGCAAGGGCACCCTCAACTCAGGAGTGACTTTAAGGCAAGGCAGAGCGGACGTTTTGAGGTGCTCTGGATAAGGGAATTTGCAATTATAGAGGAAAGTGCCATTTTCTCACTTTAATATTATCTGGTAACTTTTGGAGGCATATATCATATATACATATTTATATATGCTATGTATATGTGTATGTTTTATACATGCCATATTTCTCTATGTGAGCTGTAAACTGCAGCCAGTTATCTTAACATAAAGACTGGAAGCAGGGAAACAGCTAACTTGGCACTTATGTTATAATATCCATCAATCAGTTCTGCTAAAACTGCACAAAATAACATGTTATATGCTAAAAGTGGAGTGCGAAAACTTGCATTTTGTCATAGGTATGTGTGATATTTCTTGCCAGGCAGCAGAGACTTCTTGGAGTGTCGTGACTGCGTGTTGGCCAGGAATCCAGGAGAAAATCCAGAAAGTTATAGCGCTATAGGGCACAAACAAGCCTCATGCATAACCCCGTGTAATAAGTTGTTTTGAATTCAATTCATTTATTTATTTTTTGTATAGTGCCAAATTACAACAATCATCTCAAAGTGCTTTATATTGTACGGCAAAAACCCTACGATAAGATGACCCCGACAATCAGATGACCCCCTATGAGCAAGCACTTGGTGACAGTGGGAAGGAAAAACTCCCTTTTAACAGGAATAAGCCTCCAGCAGAACCAGGCTCGGAGGGGGGGGCATCTGCTGCGACTGGTTAGGGGTGAGGGGAGGAAGACAGGACAAAGACAAACTGTGGACCAGAGTGAGACAGTTTTGCACATTGTACAGCGAAGCTAGCTTTTTCCTGGCTTGATGCTAATCTTAGCCAAATGGCTGGTGGTTCGTGATGAACAGATAGGCCTGAGACTACATCAATTTTCCACAAAATGTTCATTTCTTCCTTTTAACTGACTCCCATATTAAGACAATTTCACCAAATTGGGACCATTTAATATCTCCTAAATGCCACGAAATCAAAACTTTTCTTTAAAAATCACTAGATTCCATTTGATAATTTGCACCCATGCTGAGACAACGTACCCCATAAATGCCATTTAAAGGGAAAAAAAAGCCTTTAACTCCTGGCTTCCCTTACAACTTTCCCGTATCTTTCTAAATCCCACTTCTCTAACGCAAAACTGTCTGTTTGCCACATTATAATCTATCAAGGAAGGAAGGGGTGGGGAAAAAAAGGCATGATGACACACAATGACAATGTTTTCTCCAGCAGCACAAAGAGCCCCAAACAAACTTGTCACAGTGATTTCCTCTTAAACAAATGAGGGAGCGGGATGCGACACTCTTAAGTCTACCCACGGGAGACGAAGGCAAAGAAAAGGGTTGACTGATAAAACAATACGTGCATGCACGAAAAGGCTCTCGCTCGCAAACGCACGCACACGCCCAGCACGACACACCCTGGAGATATGACCTGACATTTCTCACTCGGTAGTATTGTGCCGACAGAGTGAGGAAGGACAAAATAACCCAGTAAGAGATTATGAATATGAAATGCTTTTCACTGAGTCCTGCTCAGTAGATTAATGAACATATTTTCACTCAAGTTGCACTGTAGAATTTTGCCCTCTAACAAATCGCTGCATCAATAAAGCCATGCATTATGAATACAAATAGTGCAATCTAAACCGTGGCAGTGGCTAAATTAACAGGCATTTCACCCCGATTGGCATTTTATCATATGTCTCAACCAACAGACGATGAGGGGGGAAAGTCAACAAAGGACTTTTAGAGAAAGACGGCGCACCATCTTGTTTGTGGTGGAAGAGGTGGGGAGCCGGGCGAGCTTAACAACGTTACTCAGTTCAACACGAAGACTCAAATCAAAGGTTTTATCTTTAATTATGACCATTTTCTGCATCAGGGGACTGCTCATGATGCTGTATTAACAGTCAGCCTGGAATAGATTGTCCCCATGTATTGAGCTCGGGGAACAAAGGCAGTTAGCAGTGATTGCCTGTTAAATGGAGTTGCCATTTAAAAGCAGCCAAATACTTATGAAGCACCCGGACAGGACAATCCATAGCGGGCATTGATTGGCTTGCCTGAGCAGGCCGGCACGAGGCTCCTCTCTCTTTAATGCCAGGACCCAGTCGATACCCCCTCATACTAACTAGAATAAAGTGGGATTTCAGAAACTATTAAGTCCACCCTCCCCAGTAATGTGGTTGGACTCTGATGAAATCCTCCTAAAAAGGAGAAGAAATTGCCTTGGGTTATGGGTGAGCACACACACACACACACATGCGCACACACATATTATGTGGTGTGCAGTGTCTGTGGGTGTGAGTGTGGATGGTGGGGCATATGACTCGAAAGATATCGTGTAGGACTCCAAGGATGAAGTGAGAGGGAGGCAGGTGGAGATAGAGACAGATAGAATGAGAACAAAGTGTATGAAAGAAAGTAAGTCGAGACATTGTACTGAAAAGTTCCACCTTTCTCTCCATTCCCCTTGTACCCAGGTCTGCCTCCTTTAAAGGTCATGAAGTAAAGGTCACAGCCATAAATCCGCGATCAGAGCTCATAGATGGACCAGATAACGCTGTACTTTCTCAAATATATCCCACTTAGCTGCTTCTCCTATTCTTAACAAGCTACCTTTGAAATTACATTGATTGCTTTATCCCAAATTGTTCTTTGACCTGCCTCTCTGCTTCCCTTTGGCTCCGTCTCTTCCTTTTTCTTTTTTTTGCGCCCTGCCTCTTGCTCCCTTTTTAACCCTGCAATTTACCTTTTCTCTGGGTTGGCTCTTCATAAAACAATGAGAGCTATTCCATTAAGCGTAGAGGGTGAGAGGACACTCTCAACGGCGCTCCAGGGACCTGTACTGTCAGGCAATCTGTGCCGCTCCGTGCAACCCGGCAGAGGTTCAGCTGCGGGGCCATCTATTAAGCATTCTTGTTGTGCGTGTGAGACAACTCACCTCAGACCCGAACTCGTCTCTGTGTGTTAACCTCAGCTGTTATTCTGTTTATTATTGAGTGATCTGACTAAACGGCATATTTTTTTGGTTTGGTTTGGTTTTGGCGGGGATGTTGAAAATTAGAAATTCTTAAATTAATACTGTAGGCCCTTTCCGTCACACAAGCATAATCAAGCACACACACGTGCACAAAATAAATTTAGCAGCCACTCTACCATGGCCACGACACTTGCCACACAAACCCAAATGTAAACACACACACACACTTAACAGTTCTGTATGTATTTGACACCACATTGAGGACCTGCATCATTGGGTTATGAAATACACCAATTACCTCCAAACTTTTTTACAACTTTCATTATTTTCTCCTCGTGTGAAGCAGATTGTGTTTACACAACACATGAGTGGAATACCTGAGTGGGTTTTTTTTTTGTGTTTCCAGGCTCCATGTTGGAAATATTAAGGAGAACACGCTCACACGCTCACACGCATGCACGATCACACTTTTCACAGCACAGCCCCCTCGACACTGCTGATACCACACTAGGCTCTACGGTACCCCACAACACATCAAGGCTCAATGACAGCTAACCCCTGCTGTAGTCCACTGCTGTAATGGGAGTGCACTACATGTAGGGAGTCATCATTGAGGCTGGAGCCCTAATCTACGGACAGATAGCACCACAGAGTCTACAGAGCCAAGCCAGGCCAAGAACCCACAAATGCAGCAGCTAGCTTCTACCACCACAGGCTAAGAAACAAAACACCAGAGTCAGATACGGTACCTGCTTTGTCAACCATGCTCCCATGGTCTGCAGTGGGAGAAAATGTGCAAAAGGTAAGAGATGGGGAGAGTATTTTTTTTTTTCTGAAAGAAATGCAAGCAACATCATGCAGAGCTGAAATGAATAACAGGCAAGCTGAGATAAACTAACGCTGAGTGTGTCTGGTGCTAGTGAAGTGTGCTTTGCGCCAAGCTGAGGCCTGATAACTCTTTCATCTTGGGCTGATGGTGCAGTCAAAGCTGCCCTACTTTCTGATGGGGGAAATCGGGAGATCATAAACTGTTATTCCCCTGTGCATATGTATGTGCCTATGTGTGTGTAGGTGTGTGTGTATATATATATATATATATATATATATATATATATATTGGTGTTTTGTTTGGTGTGTGTATCAGATTGCAATCACAGTGCTTTTGGTGACAAGGAAATGAGACTTTGTGTCTCAAAGCACTGACGGTGAATCAAAGGAATCTGGCACTCATCCATCCAAAGTGACAGTGATGTCAATATGAGACAGTGATTGACTGACAAAAACGCTCACTCACACTCTAGCGCAACTGTGTGCATGCACACACCATAAACAAAGTGAGAGTTATTTTTTGATCGCAGTGAGGTGAAGTGGGGATTTTGTTTTGTGCCTTTCATCACATAACTTTGGTGTTTCAAAGGCCATAAAAACTAAAACTCCTGGGGTCTGCAGTTGAGAGGCAGCATAAAACAGCTAAATCCTGCTCTTGTGTAATCTCCCACCCCCACTTCTAAGAAGTTTGCACCTCTTCTCTCTGCTCGCCCACCTTCTACGTCAGCCCCTTCTTCAATTCCCCATGGCCTTTCTCCTGCTTCCACTTCTGATTTCCAAATTCCTTTAAGGAAGTATAAAGGAGCTGCCATTTTAGTCTGACTGGGTGCTGGTGTTTCTGTGCACACCCACGTGTTGACACACAGGCACGCACGTCAAACACACACCTCCAGACACACGCTCACGGGAACACACTCACCGATGGTGCAGTGCTCTCCGTTCCAGCCCTGGTGACACTGGCACTTCCCGTCCTTGCAGGTTCCATGTTTGATGCAGAGAGGGTTGCACACACGCTGGTCACAGCCTGCACCGGTCCAGCCTTCCTCACAGCGACAAGCTCCGCCCATGCACACTCCGTGGGTTCCACAGTCCACTGAGCACACCTCTGAAGGAGAAAAGATTTGGATCACAAACAAACGGTGCTAGACTCAAAAGTCAGTGTTTCCTGTATTTATTATTTTTAGTATTCTAAGATTTCATATACAGTCATGTGAAAAACCAAATACAGCTCTTGATTCAAAAGCTTTTAACCAATGATAACTTGAAGTAATTGTGTTTTGTATGACTCATTCGTTCACATTGTTGTAGAGGATTTTTTTTGCAACTTTGCTTCAGTTCATTCAGGTTTTCTGGCATTCATTTAAACTCTCTTAAGGTCTCCCCACAGCTTTTCAGTCGGCTTGACGTCTGGACTTTGACTGGGCCACTGGAGCATCCTGATTCTTTGCTTTTTCAGCCATTCTGCCGCAGATTTACTGGTAAGTTTGGATCACGGACCAGTTTGGGTCAAACTTCAGGTGTTGGAAATTTGACTCTAGACTCTACACAGAGACGTTCATGGGCAACTCAGTGACTACAAGGTGACCAGGTCCTTGTCCTTTCAGTTTGATGACAGGCTTGTTTTGCAAAACAGCCTGAAGTCATCATGCCTCCATCACCACACTTGGCAGTTGGTTTTTGGATTTGCCAAACATCTCCACATCGATCCCAGTAACTTTCTGCTTCTTAACTCAGATAAAACTGAGGTCATTGTACTCGGCGCTGAAAAGCTTAGAAATATGGTATCTAACCAGATTCTTACTCT